ATGGCATCCTATTACTTACAGTATATAGTACACTACACTTAACCATAGCCTTGTGGCTCTGGTCAAAGGTAGTGCACTATGTAGGGAATATTGTGCCATTTGGGACACAGACAAGTTGTTTTAGATGGAAACCCATCTTGGCTCTGGAAAACATAAATCTGCTCTAAGAACGGCCTGTCATCAGCCAATGTCTTGCAGTAATGAAAAGGATAAAGATGCATGGACAGATGAGGACCCCCTCTCTGTACCAACTGAGGGAATTGCCCCTAAATGAACCAGGTGGGCCTAATTCTTCGGACTTAAATAAGTCGGAGCATCTAGGGCCGTTCCTTGAAAAGACAGAGCGCTAAAGGACCCCATCGGTGACATTGACCAGAGGTTGGTAGCTGAAGAGAGCCAAATGGACACATTAGTCCCTTCTTGGACAGATGCCAGGTCTCTACTCCCGACTGCTCGCCGTCCTCCTTCCCTCTTACAGGAAATTAAAGCACTGATAAGTAAAATTTCTCAAATTGAGTGCCTTGCTTCATGAAATATTCACCAGCGTATCGAGAGAAAGTGTTTCAGCGTAGACCACCAGAATACTAAAAACTCCATGCCCACAATGTTAGCCTCCAGGGTAATAATAAGTAGGGCAGTTTGATGTACAAGTACACCCCCTGGACAGGACACTAGCCTCCAGGGTAGGAGAGAGGCACAACTGTCTTCACACAGACAAGTGATTGAGAAGATTGTCTGCATCTGTCTGCTCCGTTGGAAGTCTTATTCTAAATGGGGAGGACGACGTGGAGACGACCACAGCCCCTGGCTACTCTTCTAGCTGCCTCGGGCCAGCCACTCTGCAACTGCAGCCATCAGTTTCCACACAACCAGAGTAGCGCTGCCATTCAAGTGCGAAGGGCTAATGAAGATGATTAAAAGCCAGGGGGGCAGTGTACGGGATCAATGTAATTATTCAGCTAACAGTCCTGACTAATAGGCCTGGAAGATGAACTAGAAATGAAGCCAGTGAGCTCAGTGCACAATCAGATATTACCATATAGAGGCATGTGCTGCTCACCCTAACATTCCTGCATATTCTCAGTGAGGACTGGAAGCTAAATACCAGGGAGACAATGAGCCTAGCTGCTCTTACTAGAGACAGAAAACAGCAAAATCCACTAAAAGCTTTGGTTCACGTTCAAGACTTCAGGTGAAACACATCTGTATAGAGCCCCACAGTGGAGGTGTCATAATACCCCAAAACCTAGCGGTCAAACAGGGAAATGGTTCCAATCATTTTTCCACCATTCATTTTTTCCATATGGAATTTTAGAAACACTTAAAATAAGGGCTGTGTTTCGTGTAGGCTTACCCTGGTGTGATGTTTTGAATCTCTCTAGGACAAGGTGACTTTTATCAATATATTCGGCTCTATTTACTCTCAGATTCGAAAATGCTAATTAGCATCAAAGTAGACATCATGCAAAAACTATACAGTGCATTTGGAAGGTATTCAGACCCCTTGACTTTTTCCACATTTTGCTATGTTACAGCCATATTCTAAAATGCATTAAATAAATAAAAATCCTCAATCTACACACAATATCCCATAATTTTTGCAAATTTGTAAAAAATGTATAACAGAAATACCTTATTTACATAAGTATTCAGATCCTTTGCTATGAGCCTCGAAATTCTTCGGACTCGAAGAGGGTAGTGCGTACGGCCCAGTACATCACTGGGGCAAAGCTCCCTGCCATTCAGGACCTCTATACCAGGCGGTGTCAGAGGAAGGCCCTCAAAATTGTCAAAGACTCCAGCCACCCTAGTCATAGACTGTTCTCTCTGCTACCGCACGGCAAGCGGTACCGGAGTGCCAAGTCTAGGTCCAAAAGACTTCTCAACAGCTTCTACCCCCAAGCCATAAGACTCCTGAACAGCTAATCATGGCTACCCGGACTATTTGCACTGCCCCCCCACCCCATCCTTTTTACGCTGCTGCTACTCTGTTAAGTATTTATGCATAGTCACTTTAACTCTACCCACATGTACATATTACCTCAACTACCTCAACTAGCCGGTGCCCCCGCACATTGACTCTGCAACGGTACCCCCCTGTATATATAGCCTCCCTACTGTCACTTTATTTTACTGTATATATAGCCTCCCTACTGTCACTTTATTTTTACTTCTGCTCTTTTTTTCTCAACACTTTTTTTGTTGTTGTTTTATTCTTACTTTTTTTGTTTAAAATAAATGCACTGTTGGTTAAGGGCTGTAAGTAAGCATTTCACTGTAATGTCTGCACCTGTTGTATTCGGCGCATGTGACCAATAAAATTTGATTTGATTTGATTTGATTTGATTTGAAATTGAGCTCAGGTGCATCCTGTTTCCATTGATCATCCTTGAGATGTTTCAACCTGTGGTAAATTCAATTGATTGGACATGATTTGGAAAGGCACACATCTGTCTATACAAGGTCCCACAGTTGACAGCACATGTTAGAGCAAAAACCAAGCCATAAGGTCGAAGGAATTGTCCGTAGAGCTCCGAGACAGGATTGTGTCGAGGCATAGATCTGAGGAAGGGTACCAAAAAAATTCTGCAGCATTGAAGGTCTCCAAGAACACAGTGGCCTCCATCATTCTTAAATGGAAGAAGTTTTGAACCACCAAGACTCTTCCTAGAGCTGCCACCAAGAACCCGATGGTCACTCTGACAGAGCTCTAGAGTTCCTCTGTGGAGATGGGAGAACCTTCCAGAAGGACAACCATCTCTGCAGCACTCCACCAATCAGGCATTTATGGTAGAGTAGCAAGACGGAAGCCACTCCTCAGTAAAAAGGCACATGACAGCCCGCTTGGAGTTTGCCAAAAGGCACCTAAAGGACTCACAGACCATGGGATTCTCTGGTCTGATGAAACCAAGATTGAACTCTTTGGCTTGAATGCCAAGCGTCACTTCTGGAGGAAACCAGGTACTGCTCATCACCTGGCCAATACCATCCCTAACGTGAAGCATGGTGGTGGCAGCATCATGCTGTGGGGATGTTTTTCAGCGGCAGGGACTGGGAGACTAGTCAGTATCGAGGGAAAGATGGACGGCGCAAAGTACAGAGAGATCCTTGATGAAAACTTGCTCCAGAGCGCTCAGGACCTCAGCCTGGTGCAAAAGTTCACCTTCCAACAGGACAACAACCCTAAGCACACAGCCAAGACAACGCAGGAGTGGCTTCGGGACAAGTCTCTGAATGTCCTTGAGTGGCCCATCCAGAGCACGGACTTGAACCCGATCGAACATTTCTGGAGAGACCTGAAAATAGCTGTGCAGCGACGCTCTCCATACAACCTGACAGAACTTGAGAAGATCTGCAGAGAAGAATCTGAGAAATTCCGCAAATACAGGTGTGTAATCGCTGCCAAAGGCGCTTCAACAAAGTACTGAGTACAGGGTCTGAATACTTATGTAAAATGTGATATCAGTTTTTTATTTTTAATACATTATCAAAAATTTATAAAAACCTGTTTTTGCTTTGTCATTATGGGGTATTGTGTGTAGATTGATGAGGGGGGGGTAAACTATTTAATACATTTTAGAATAAGGCTGTAACGTACCAAAATGTGGAAAAAGTCTGAATACTTTCCGAATGCACTGTAAATCCCTTCAACATCCTGCATGTCATCTCTAGCTGACACCTTTGCTAACAGGTATTGTGACAATTTAAAACTTGCACAAGACAGTTCACATAATTGTCAATTTAAAGACATTTTGCCAATTTACACCGAACAAAAATATCAACGCAACAGGTAAAGTGTTGGTCCCATGTTTCATGAGCTGAAATAAAAGATCCCAGAAATGTTCCATATGCACAAAAAGCTTATTTCTCTCAAATATTCTGCACAAATGTGTGTACATCCCTGTTAATGAGCATTTCACCTTTGCCAAGATAATCCATCCACCTGACAGGTGTGGCATAACAAGAAGCTGATTAAACAGCATGATCATTACTCAGGTGCACCTTGTGCTGGGGACAATAAAAGGCACTCTAAAATGTGCAGTTACGTCACACAACACAATGCCACAGATTTCACAAGTTGAGGGAGTGTGCAATTGACATTCTGACTGCAGGAATGTCCACCAGAGCTATTGCCAGAGAATGTAATGTTAATTTCTCTACCATAAACTGCCTCCAATGTCGTTTCAGAGAATTTGTCAGTACGTCCAACCGGCCTCACAACCGCAGACCATGTATATGGAGTTGTGTGGGCAAGCGATTTGCTGATGTCAACATTGTGACCAGAGTGCCCCATGGTGGCGGTGGGGTTATGGTATGGGCAGGCATAAGCTACAGACAACAAACACAATTGCATTTTATCAAATGGCAATTTGAATGCACAAAAATACCATGACGAGATCCTGAGGCCCATTTTTTTTTAAGGTATCTGTGACCAACAGATGCATATCTGTATTTCCAGTCATGTGAATTTATTACAATTGACTGATTTCCTCATATGAACTGTAACCCAGTAAAATCTTTAAAATTGTTGCATGTTGCGTTTATATTTGTTCATTATATTAATTACTAAATTTAGCTAACATCAGATAGTTAATTCAGAGATTCTTACCTTTGCCTCGATTTCATCGGTCCGTCCAGATCATCATGGCATTTGTAGTTCTTTATGATAGCCACATTAGCAGCTAATTAGCATTTCATTTTGGGGGGGGCGGGGGGGAATTCAGGCAAATATATTGATAAAAGTCACCTTGTCCTAGAGATATTATCAAAACGTCATGCCAGGGTAAGCCTACACAAAACACAGCCCTTATTTTAGTGTTTCTAAAATCCCCTATGGGAAAAATTTATGGAACCATTTCCTTGTTTGACCGCTAGGTTTTATGGGTATTATGACTCATACTGTGGTACTCTCTGGGAATGCTAATATTATGCTAAACAGCTTCTTGTGACTGAGCCCTCTGGGAAGAGGAAGGAGGACACTGAAGAACAAGTGACTCACAGTATCCCATCAGCATTCCAGCTGACCTTATAGGGATTCTATTCCAGAAAGCAAAGGTTCCGCCTGTCCATGGACACAGGCTGAGCACCTGGAAACCCGGACCTAGAACACACACACAATAAAAAACTTTTTTTAATCAACTGCTTAGAGCATAAGGGACTGGAAATTCAGAAAGCGTAATAAACTTTTATGTGATTCTTCTCTTATATGAGACATTATGCGGCTTTAGAGCTGAAACAACACAATTACTCCATATGTCTGCCCTGGTGTCTCTTAACAGTACAACGCTCTAAAATATAAAAATTCATTAAGAGTGGCAGGTTGACATTTATTGTCATGAATCTTGCCCTGGAGGCAGAACTGAGCGATTTCTGCTAGATGGCCCAGCTGCAAAGTTAAAATTGGCTATATCGTAAAGAAATTCATGAAAATAAGAAAATGCTTTTTGGTCTTCATTTAAGGTTAGGGTTAGGCATTAGGGTTAGCAGTGTGGTTAAGTTTAGGTCTTATGATTTTGTGGCTGTGCCAGCTAGTGACCACGCTGCAGAGCTGCCTCCAGGGCAAGATTCATGACAATAAATGCCAACCTGCGTAAGAGTGGGTCACACACACATAGTGCTACCAGAAGGTATACAGTGCATTCGGAACGTATTCAGACCCCTTCACTTTTTCCACATTTTGGTACGTTACAGCCTTATTCTAAAATGGATTTTCAAAAAACATTCTCATCAATCTTCACACAATACAACATAATTGGGACTGGACTGGACTGTAGCTCAGTTGGTAGCGCATGGCGCCTGCAACACCAGGGTTGTGGGTTCGATTCCCACGGGGGGCCAGTATGAAAAATGTATGCACTCACTAAAACTGTAAGTCGCTCTGGATAAGAGCGTCTGCTAAATGACTAAAAAAAAAAAATAGAAAAAATATAAATGACAAAGCAAAAATATGGTTAGAAATTTTTGCAAATGTATTAAAAATAACAAAGTGAAATATCACATTTACATACACTACCAGTCAAAAGTTTTAGAACACCTACTCATTCAAGTGTTTTTCTTTATTTTTTTACTATTTTCTACATTGTTGAATAATAGTGAAGACATCTAAACTATGAATTAACACATATGGAATCATGGAGTAACCAACAAAAGTGTTAAACAAATCAAAATATATTCTATATTTGAGATTCTTCAAATAGCCACCCTTAGCCTTGATGACAGCTTTGCACACTCTTGGCATTCTCACAACCAGCTTCACGAGGTAGTCACCTGGCATGCATTTCAATTAACAGTTGTGCCTTCTTAAAAGTTAATTTGTGGAATTTCTTTCCTTCTTAATGCGTTTGAGCCAATCAGTTGTGTTGTGACAAGGTGGGGGGGGGGCAGGGGGGGTATACAGAATATATCCCTATCCCATATTATGGCAAGAACAGCTCAAATAAGCAAAGAGAAACGACAGTCCATCATTACTTTAAGACATGATGGTCAGTCAATACGGAACATTTCAAGAACTTTTCAAGTTTCTTCAAGTGCAGTTGCAAAAACCATCAAGCGCTATGATGAAACTGGCTCTCATGAGGGCCGCCACAGGAATGGAAGACCCAGAGTTACCTCTGCTGCAGAGGATAAGTTCATTAGAGTTACAAGCCTCAGAAATTGCAACCCAAATAAATGCTTTACAGAGTTCAAGTAACAGACACATCTCAACATCAACTGTTCCGAGGAGACTGTGTGAATCAGGCCTTCATGGTCGAATTGCTGCAAAGAAACCACTATTAAAGGACACCAATAAGAAGAAGAGACTTACTTGGGCCAAGAAACATGAGCAATGGACATTAGACTGGTGGAAATGTGTCCTTTGGTCTGGAGTCCAAATTGGAGATTTTTGGTTCCAACCGCTGTGTCTTTGTGAGACGCCGTGTGGGTGAACGGATGATCTCCACATGTGTATTTCCCACCGTAAAGCATGGAGGAGGAGGTGTTATGGTGTGGGGGTGCTTTGCTGGTGACACTGTCTGTGATTTATTTAGTATTCAAGGCACACTTAACCAGCATGGCTACCACAGCATTCTGCAGCGATACGCCATCCCATCTGGTTTGGGCTTAGTGGGACTATCATTTGTTTTTCAACAGGACAATGACACCTCCAGGCTGTGTAAGGGTTATTTTACCAAGAAGGAGAGTGATGGAGTGCTGCATCAGATGACCTGGCTTCCACAATCCCCCAACCTCAACCAAATTGAGATGGTTTGGGATGAGTCAGACTGCAGAGTGAAGGAAAAGCAGCCAACAAGTGCTCAGCATACACTACCAGTCAAAAGCTTTAGAACACCTACTCATTCAACATTGTAGAATAATAGTGAACACATCAAAACTATGAAATAACACATATGGAATTATGTAGTAACCAAAAAAGTGTTTATATTTTATATTTGAGATTCTTCAAATAGCCACCCTTTGCACACTCTTGGCATTCTCTCAACCAGCTTCACCTGGAATGCTTTTCCAACAGTCTTGAGGGAGTTCCCACATATGCTGAGCACTTGTTGGCTGCTTTTCCTTCACTCTGTGGTCACACAACGCAACATTTAAAGCAAAAGGCACACTATGCACATTTGGAGAGAGAATTTCAGAGGGTCCCACACGGCTCTCACAGTCAGTCTGTGTGAACTGGAGCAGAACCAATGCATTCTCTCTCTCACACTCACTCTAAGTAGTATTGTTGTTTGGAACAATGTATTGACAGCATTTGACCTAACAGAACAGCAGGCAACCTTAAGGCGTCCGTATGCTTCCCAGCTGAAACAGTTCAGAAGAGTTTGTGCATATATTATGACATTTTGTGACGTTTTTGTTCGTAGTTTACGCCCCTTCATCAGTGATTGGTCAACAATAGGGATTCTTCAATAAAGTCTTTGTTGTCATTCAACGAGACGACTCGTTTTCATGCAAAAAAATTTGTTTGAGAAATACTGCACCAAACATCTTAGCTAGATGCCAAATTGAGCGACTACGATCTCTGCAAAAACGTCAAAATGAATGACAGATTTCTTGAGTTATCTTAGATTAATTCTGACTCTTTTGAGGAAGTGTACACTGAATATGGCATCTCAAAATGGACAAACAGTACTATTGCCACTTTTCGTTTTTCAAGTGAAGGTCTTTTAAGGTAGTGTGCGAGCACATTCGTTCGGTTCGCCTAGCCGACTTCAGCTAGCCGCCAGCCGAACTGAAGCATGCTGATGCCTTTAGAGTGAATCTAACCATGAGAAGGAAGTGCGGTGCTAGAGTGACAGGGGGCAGGGCTTTGTGTGTGGGAAGCAGTCACAAGAGGAGCGAGAGACGACAAACAGATTATACTATAAAAACATATTACACGCGGCTGACGGGCGGTTCGAAATATTGTATGCTTCTGCGATATGGATATTGCACATGTCAATATTGCAATTTTTATGTGAATTTGATAAATTGTGCAGCCCTATCCCAAATGGCAACCTATTTTCCATTGGGCTCTGGTCAAAAGTACTGCACTAAAGGGGATAGGGTGCCATTTGGGACACATCGTCTCTCCTTGGCTACAGCCTATTTCCCCAGTCCTTTCTCAGTCAGTCTCACCACTTTTATTCTCTCCTTCCTCCGTTTACCCAGCGCCGATCCAGAGGAGGAGGGGCCCGACTGAGACGACTCCTGACCAATCACGTTGCCATCATCGTCCTGGTCGTCATCGTCGAAGCACCACTCAGGCAGCGAGGGGGCGGCGGGCACGTCTTCCGTGTCTCCATAACGGAAGAGCTCCTTGAGGTAGTCGCCTTTGTAGATCCCAGGTTGCAAGGGCCTGAGCGAACGCTGCCACCGCCCCCTCAGCACTGACCCACATCAAGAGAAAAAAACACATAGGATCACAACAAAACATCAGTCAGGCCCTCTGGCCTAAAAGTAGACCTCTCTAGAGACAGGAGATGTCAATTAGCTATCAAAGTGGACTACACCGTCTCAGCTCATCAATCGTCTTTGACCAATGGATAACCCTGTCAAAAATCATTCAACAACTGTTTCTGATCACATCGCTGCTTAGTAGTTGAGTAGTTATTGTATGTCCGCTGACTGATTCTGTGGCTGACAGTGTGAGAAAGGAAAGATTAACCACATGTGATATTGTCATCCAGAACCAGAACTGATGCACATCTCAGACTCTCTGTCTGTGAGTGCTGTGGGATTATTAAACCAGAGGAAATGGGGGGGATGAGGAGGAGGTCCATCCTCATCCTGTCTATACCTCCAACACTAAGCCCAAGGGAATTCACAGATTCTGCTAACCTTTTCCAGATCCAGTCTCTCTCTGCCCAAAACACACATTCATCCCCTTCCTCTCTGCAGTAAATGATTCAGCACCTCTGGTGGGCTCTTCACCTCAAGCTCTGTCTTTCCCTAAGAGTGACTTCATTGATACTGACAGCATCCCTCCTTGTGACCTCACACATATACAACACAGAGCCCTTCATGCAGATGATATTGTATTATATGTTGAAGACATTTTTCATTCTCTACCTGTCCTTCTCAACATCTTTAAAAACGTACACTGCTCAAAAAAAATAAAGGGAACACTTAAACAACACATCCTAGATCTGAATGAATGAAATAATCTTATTAAATACTTTTTTCTTTACATAGTTGAATGTGCTGACAACAAAATCACACAAAAATTATCAATGGAAATCAAATGTATCAACCCATGGAGGTCTGGATTTGGAGTCACCCTCAAAATTAAAGTGGAAAACCACACTACAGGCTGATCCAACTTTGATATAAATGTCCTTAAAACAAGTCAAAATGAGGCTCAGTAGTGTGTGTGGCCTCCACGTGCCTGTATGACCTCCCTACAACGCCTGGGCATGCTCCTGATGAGGTGGCAGATGGTCTCCTGAGGGATCTCCTCCCAGACCTGGACTAAAGCATCCGCCAACTCCTGGACAGTCTGTGGTGCAACGTGGCATTGGTGGATGGAGCGAGACATGATGTCCCAGATGTGCTCAATTGGATTCAGGTCTGGGGAACGGGCGGGCCAGTCCATAGCATCAATGCCTTCCTCTTGCAGGAACTGCTGACACTCCAGCCACATGAGGCCTAGCATTGTCTTGCATTAGGAGGAACCCAGGGCCAACCGCACCAGCATATGGTCTCACAAGGGGTCTGAGGATCTCATCTCGGTACCTAATGGCAGTCAGGCTACCTCTGGCGAGCACATGGAGGGCTGTGCGGCCCCCCAAAGAAATGCCACCCCACACCATGACTGACCCACCGCCAAACCGGTCATGCAGCAGAACGTTCTCCACGGCGTCTCCAGACTCTGTCACGTCTGTCACGTGTGCTCAGTGTGAACCTGCTTTCATCTGTGAAGAGCACAGGGCGCCAGTGGCGAATTTGCCAATCTTGGTGTTCTCTGGCAAATGCCAAACGTCCTGCACGGTATTGGGCTGTAAGCACAACCCCCACCTGTGGACGTTGGGCCCTCATACCACCCTCATGGAGTCTGTTTCTGACTGTTTGAGCAGACACATGCACATTTGTGGCCTGCTGGAGGTCATTTTGCAGGGCTCTGGCAGTGCTCCTCCTGCTCTTCCTTGCACAAAGGCAGAGGTAGCGGTCCTGCTGCTGGGTTGTTGCCCTCCTACGGCCTCCTCCACGTCTCCTGATGTACTGGCCTGTCTCCTGGTAGCGCCTCCATGCTCTGGACACTACGCTGACAGACACAGCAAACCTTCTTGCCACAGCTCGCATTGATGTGCCATCCTGGATGAGCTGCACTACCTGAGCCACTTGTGTGGGTTGTAGACTCCGTCTCATGCTACCACTAGAGTGAAAGCACCGCCAGCATTCAAAAGTGACCAAAACATCAGCCAGGAAGCATAGGAACTGAGAAGTGGTCTGTGGTCACCACCTGCAGAACCACTTCTTTATTGGGGGTGTCTTGCTAATTGCCTATAATTTCCACCTGTTGTCTATTCCATTTGCACAACAGCAGGTGAAATGTATTGTCAATCAGTGTTGCTTCCTACGTGGACAGTTTGATTTCACAGAAGTGTGATTGACTTGGAGTTACATTGTGTTGTTTAAGTGTTCCCTTTATTTTTTGGAGCAGTGTATATTCAATCTCAGGTTACAAAAATTGGTCAAAATCTGCAATATTTCCGCTGAATGAGGAGTAATAGTAAGCCATTTCAAATACCTAGGTATTGACAACTCTCCAACCTTACAGATCACCACCACTACCAATGTTAGTGTTCATAAACAAATAGAGTCAGACCTGCAAAGATGGTCTCAATGCAAAAATGTTAACTCTTTTCAGACATGCATTTCGATCGTTAAGATGAACATACTTCCACGGATAAACTTTTACAGCTCTATGATTCCAGTTTCACCACCACTGGGATATTGGAAGAAACTGCATACGTTATCTCCAAATGTATATGGAACAAACTGTCCACTTTAAAAGAGACAGGAGTGTTCTGGAGGACCAAAACCTCCCCAATCTTAAATTATATTTTTGGGCCTTTATGCTAAGACCACCACGTGTGTGGTTGAACCTCAATATCCCAGTGGCCTGGTGCCCCCTGGAAGAGAATTTAGCAAAGCCGTACAGGCTCCAATATCTGGCATATTCCAACATCTCTATCAAAAAAGCCAAACTCACCTTTGACCCAATCATCAGGCAAACAATACAATATGGCGTTCAATGGGGAACCATTGGAAATACATCATTAGTCATCATCCCCATATGCCATTGTTTAATAATCACAGTCTTCTCTTGGGTGGCCAGACAATATATTTTACAGCTTGGCGTGAGAAGGGAAATCATACTCTCTCTGACATTGTGGACAGTTGTAGCTTACGTGTGTTCCAAGACTTGAAAACGCAATACAATCTGCCTGGTTCTTCATTTTTATTTTATTTGCAGATTTGTTCTGCTCTACGTGCTTATGGAACCCTGAGGTTCAGATCTAGCATCTCATCCTATTCACAAAATAATGACAGCAAGGGTAAGTAAGGGCATAGTCTCCAAATTATATATATTCTTACTCAAACCAACATATCACCAATTACCAATCCATTCAAAATGGAACAAAGATATACACTATATATACAAATGGTATGTGGACACCCCTTCAAACTAGTGGATTCGGCTATTTCAGCCACATCCGTTGCTAAAAGGTGTATAAAATCGAGCACACAGCCATGCAATCTCCATAGACAAACATTGGCAGTAGAATGGCCTTACTGAAGAGCTCCGTGACTTTCACCATGGCACCTTCATAGGATGCCACCTTTCCAACTAGTCAGTTCATCAAATTTCTGCCCTGCTAGAGCTGCCCCGGTTAACTGTAAGTGCTGTTACTATGAAGTGGAAATGTCGAGGAGCAACAACGGCTCAGTAGCGAAGTGGTAGGCCACACAAGCTCACAGAACGTGACCGTCGAGTGCTGAAGCGCGTAGCGTGTAAAAATCGTCTGTCCTCGGTTGCAACACTCACTACCGAGTTCCAAACTGCCTCTGGAAGCAAAGTCAGCACAATAACTGTTCGTCGGGAGCTTCCTGAAATGGGTTTCCATGGCCGAGCAGCCGAGCAGCCGCACACAAGCCTAAGGTCACCATGCGCAATGCCAAGCGTCGGCTGGAGTGGTGTAAAACTTGCCGCCATTGGACTCTGGAGCAGTGGAAACGCGTTCTCTGGAGTGATGAATCACGCTTCACCATCTGGCAGTCCGACGGACGAATCTGGGTTTGGCGGATGCCAGGAGAACACTACCTGCCCCAATGCAGTGCCAACTGTAAAGTTTGGTGGAGGAGGAATGATGGTCTGGGGCTGTTTTTCATGGTTCGGGCTAGGCCCCTTAGTTCCAGTGAAGGGAAATCTTAACGCTACAGCATACAATGACATTCTAGACGATTCTGTGCTTCCAACTTTATGACAACAGTTTGGGGAAGGCCCTTTCCTGTTTCAGCATGACAATGCACCTGTGCAAAAAGTGAGGTCCATACAGAAATGGTTTGTCGAGATCGGTGTGGAAGAACTTGACTGGAGTGCACAGAGCCCTGACCTCAACCCCATCGAACACCTTTGGGATGAATTGGAACACCAACTGCGAGCCAGGCCTAATCGCCCAACATCCGTGCCTAACCTCACTAATGCTCGTGGCTGAATGGAAGCAAGACCCCGCAGCAATGTTCCAACATCTAGTGGAAAGCCTTTCCAGAAGAGTGGAGGCTGTTATAGCAGCAAAGGGGGGTCCAACTCCATATTAATGACTATGATTTTGGAATGAGATGTTTGACGAGCACATACTTTTGGTAATGTAGTCTACCAGCAGTATATTTACTGGAGTAGTCTGGTCTAAGATGACATTGCAGAGTTGTCAATGAGGTGATTGATTTTGTATTGGGGCTTATCACGTGGTTTGGGCAGGCAGAGATAGTTGAAATAGAAGCCTCTGATAGAACCCAACCCAATCAACCACAAGGCTAAAGGAGTCTGCATGCTTCCCAGCCAAAACAGTTCGGTAGAGTTCGTGCATAAATCGAAGTCTACACCCCTTCATCAGTGATTGGTCAATAGTAGGGACTCTTCAATAAAGTCTTTGTAGTCATTCAACGAGAGATGACTAGTTTTCCTGCAAATAATTTCATTGAAAAACACAGCACCAAACATCTTCGTTAGATGTAAAATTGCACGGCTAAGACCTCCTCTGCAAAAATGTCAAAATTAATTATAGATTTATTGAGTTGTCTTAGATTAGATTAATTCTGACTATTGTGAGGAAGTTTATACTGGCTACGGCGTCTCAAGATGGACAAACAGTACTATTGCCGTTTCTTTTTCTCGTTATGCAAGCGAATATATTTTATGGGAGTATGCGAGCACACTTGTTCGGTTCGGCTAGGCGCCAGCCGAACTGAAGCATGCTGACGCCTTAAGTCTGCTTCCACTGCAACATGGCTCCACCCCCTTAGCAGACTACAGAAGTCCATCCTGAACACACAAAGGAGTGACACAAGCCAAACCACTCTGGGAATTGTGTTGGTTGTGTGGTCAATGTTGGAATCCATTAAGTGATTTGGCAGTGGGATGTACACACACACACACACACACACAGAAGTAGTGTGTAACAAACACAGTTCCCTGGGGTGTTGCTTGATTGGAATGGCTAGACCTTACCTCCAGTCCATCTTCTCCACCAGGTATGCACAGATCAGAAAGCCTGTCCAATTGAAGCCGTTCGTGCAGTGGACACCTGTGGGAGAACAAAGAGAGACAGACACTGCATAAGTCAATAAAGCAACGTGCCCATCTGTCCCTACTACTACAATTGTGTGTGTGTGTGTGTGTACTCGCAATTGTGCTTCTACATCTGCATTGCTTGCTGTTTGGGGTTTTAGGCTGGGTTTCTGTATAGCACTTTGTGACATCTGCTGATGTAAAAAAGGGCTTTATAAATACATTTGACTTGAGTCCAATAACCCTGTCACTTTCCAACCATCTCTCTCCTGCAAAATCAATAGTCCTATATGTGAAGAGAGGAGGTGGTGGCCTGGCTACGCATAACGCCCACTGAATCCACCTGAGAGAGCCCTTATGCCGGGTGTTCACTACACAACTTTCAGAATCCTAACCTCGCTGAGCCTCTCACATTAAAACAACATCTTTCCTGTAGTTTGTTGTCTTGCCAAGGTAGTGGTGCGCACACTAAACGATCTGGCACAGACAGGGGGGGGTCACACACTAAACGATACTTCACTTGCTCATGAGGAATCTCGATACCACCACGCTGTCTCGCAAAAACAATGATGTGATTAGATTGTTAATGTAGCTAGAACGAGCTGTGGCTCAAAGCAGCCTCAAATGTTTTCAGTCAGACATTCATGCTTGCCATACAGAGTTGAAATATCTAGCCAACATTTTGAATTGAATAAAATTGCTTGTGAACTTCAGAGCTGTAACGATTTGACGCTTTGGTTAAAGGCAAGTACACAAACGCATAGTAGTAGTAGTCATGGCTCATGCACGAGTCTACACATTCTGGGTGATGCAAAACAACGTAGTCTCACTGGCTTCTTTGGTGAGCTCTCATTGGCTATTGCTGATCACTGTTCTCAACTTGTAGTTGCAGATCTCACACTACAAGAGTATTGCAGATATTGTGCCGATAAAATCAAACATGTTTGAAAATAATCGGGACGTCTGGACCTGCTCAAAGATAGGATCGGTAGCACTCAGATTGCGTCTCTGACACGCTAACGCCTCGATCACACCGACAGCGTCATTGCATTTTGGTACACCAGAAGTACATTCATTTTCAATGGAACGCTGCGTTTGCCGTTCAGCATTGCGTTGCAGAGGCAGTTGAGGTGCGTTCTGTGTGGTGTATACGTTGGATTTATCGAACGTATGCATCAAACTGTATGCGTAGACGGCTTGACAGAAATGGTAGCAGAAGGTTGAACTTAATTTGCACACATATCCAGATGATGCTGCGTACCATTTTGCGCAATGACGCAGTCGGTGTGATCGAGGCGTAACATTAAACGAGCGTCGTTGACAGATGCACGCCCAGAGTAGGCAACGACATGGGGATTTTGCCTCCCATCTCAAAAACATGTCTGGGACAGCTAAATCGGACCCAAAATTAGTGTAGTGTACACCTGGTTTAACGATCTGCTGGTGCTTCTCTAAGTGGGAGCCTCATGTTTAAAACCAGTTCATCAGCCAACTGGAGGTTAGCTACATACTCCAGGGCCTGTATTCTTAAAGCATCTCAGAGTAGGAGTGATTTAGGAACAGTTTTGCTTTTTAGATTATAATGAATGGACATGGAGAACCTGATCCTAGAGCAGCACTCCTACACCGAGTCACTTTATGAATACGGACGGCAGACGCAATCTAACGCTAGGGGACGGGAGAGGAAAGGGAACAGAGGGAATCGGTCCATGTTTGCTTTGATCTTCAAGGCAGGGAAGGATCATAGGGACAAACTAAATCTTCACTCCACTTTAAAATGTTCATGGCAGAGCCTTTATCAGCATTCATGTGTGGTTTGGGGGGGGAAATGGTTTGATTTTAGACGCCATGCTTCGTCAGTCTGTGAAGCATCTCCCTCGGCCATGATGCAGTTGGTCAGTTGGTCAGCCATTTCTATTCAACTTTAAAAGGGAATAATTAGAGAGTGGTATAAAATGGGAACTCACTGGTTTGACCAGCCACTAGGAGATCTCTGATGAAATCTCTGAAAATACGGTCATAGAAAGTCAATCTGGACTTATCCCAGTAATCAGGATAAGAATATTTTTCTCTCCTTCTCTGATAGTCTGAATAGTCAATGCATGGCAATCTCCATTGGGTACATGTTTCCACTGATTGACCTCAGCTTGACTGCTGTAACACCCTGTCCGTCAGACAGGACAAGATGTCTGTCTGGTAGCATAAATGGAGATGAAATCTCCAGTAATGATGATGGGGGGTCGTTAAAGGGTTACATTCACGAGCCCCCACTGTCTAATTTCAACAGCTGCATTAATACCAGAGAGACAACAGATAAAGATCAACGGGTGGCCAACAGGAGGACATCTTTATAACGACATTCATATATTCCAGCCTGAGAAATATTCATTTCCCGTTAGATGCTCAAGGACATACAAAAAAGCAGGGGTGGTTGTGCATTTATCATTCATGACTGCAAGGTTTTGAAATTGGTTTATCTGCCTTCAAGCCTCTAAGCAGCAGGGGTCCAGTTGGTCCTTTCCAAACCGTGGGCTTGTGAGGTATACTCAGACAGGTCACACACTGAGCTACAACAAAGTGATTGCATACACAGATATGGTGAGCTATACTAAACATGGCCCCTGCAAAAGCCGCTACACATTTCAGGTTTCCATCCAATTTGTTTATTAATATCCTGGCATATGATCAGTACCAATTTCAGTCAGATATGAATGTGTTTCACCACCTCTATGTGCAGAGCAGACCACCAACCAACACACTTGGTTATAATTCTACAAGAACGCCTGTGGGAAGATGCAATTACTTTGACTTAATATTTAGCAAACCCATTTTATAGTTTTTACAAACAAAATGCATCTTATCACAAATAGCTGATAGAATATTAGGAAGGGAGGGTGTCTGGTTGGTACTAAAAAGATTAGAACTGTTTGGTTGTTATATTCTGGCTCTCCCTAGTGGACAAACTTGTACATACTCATACCTTGAAAATCAATTTTGCTGTTATGCTACTTGCCTAGGGTGTATTCATTACACTGATTCTGTTGCAAAACGTTTTGTAACAGAAATCGTTTACTCCAAACAGAAAAGGTTTTTCAACGAACACGAGGTCCCTCCCTGATTTCTTCCGTTGGCTATGTTTGCTTCTGTTTAGTTCTTAAACTGTAAACGTTTCCATTGCAAGACATAATGAATACACCCCTGGCTACACATCCACATGGCTCTGGCCAAACACCACGCCCACTGAGTTGTCAGGCAAATATGTTACAATACAACATCCTCTATACTTTGGGATAATGTAGCACCAAGTTCAAATGTGACTGTATTTTACCTCTTGACTGCTATCAAAACAAAACAAAAACAATGTATTCACAACATGTGTTTCTGTATGAACAACACGCCAGACACATGAACAAAGATAAGGAAATATACAGCTCCAGTAAAAAAAAAAAACTTGCACGCATTGCATTCCTTACCTATCAATTGCTCTGTGGCTAAACAAGGAAGGAACACCACATCAGATCAATCAACAAATTATATTATTTTCAACTAGTGGCATTTGTATGTGTAAACATGGAGAATTAATCTTGAGTTTTAAAAACAGGTCACTCATACGTACCCTTTGCACTGAAGCTTCACATATTTAACGCCCTATTTCTCGATCTGGTTGCGGTCATAGAAGCGGATAATGTTTGTTAGATCAATAAGCAAACCCATTTTAACGTAGAAAATACACAAAACATATGTTGACAGACTAGTGGTGAATTGAGCTCTGATTGATCTTTCCCAAAGAGAAACAAAAGACTAGTAAACACATTTTAACATCATGGAAGACATACCTTGACACTCTTTAAATACTGGGATAGCATGCTTGGATGAAACCTGTTCTCTTCTGCCACTTCGTCATCATACTTGGGGCCCAACAGTTTTCATTGGCAGGAATTTACCTGGTGAGACAGTGAAAAGGTAGAGTGGTCACAGACAGGTCACCACAAGACATGCAGACACCATGAAAACAGTACCACTCACTGTCCTATGTTTTCCATACGTTATGACATGGTTATTAGCTAATTTAGCTACATAAGATAACACGTATAAGGATCGCACTTGGAATATGTAAGCATGTTTCCTTTTCACTAACGTTAATCTAAACGGATGGCAAGTGACGTTTCATGTAATCTGGTTAGCTAATCCTAACTACAAAAACACACACCCTATTTAGCTGAGGTAGCTATAGAAACACTGAACATTAGTATTTGCTTTCGCTTTATTTTTAGTCAGTTAGTCTTGTTTAACACGTCATTTTTAAATGAAAACGTGTTCCTATATATTGCTACCATATTATTGCTGGTTTGTTTTGACACGTGATCTGTACTCGACCGCTTTAAGGCAGGATAACAGCATAGCTGACTAACAGTGAGTGTTTGCATAGGGATTTTGCCTCTAGTCTAAAGTGAATTGTGGTTATCGTCCACTGAATACATAGTTTATCAAACCAAAGGCCTCAAACGGGCTGAATCATTGAGTTTTGCAAAAAAATGTTAGACAGTGCGACACAACAGTGCTAGCCAGCGTTGTAGCTAGATACATTATCGTTAGCTAGCTAACAACACAACAATCTTTCGCCACTCACCTGCTACAGGTTGTCCTCTTCTAGGACTATTCCGCCATCGAGGGGGAGGATCAGTGTGTGACATTTTGTCCAAGAGTGGCAACTGTAATTTCACACACCGAGGATGTAACGTCAGCCACAGCAATTAGTCCGTCAGTTGAACATCGACGTGACGGTCCCTGGGATATCACCCTCCACCGCGGGCTCTCGTGCGCAAATGCCCTGCGGATTTTGGGCCTTGAAAATTAGGATGATTGTGTTAGATGTGGGGCCTAACCCAGGCCTTGCGGTCTGATCCAGAAATTGAGAAAATCAATCAAAATGTAGGTTTTTACTTACGATTGTTCAATGTCCAAATATCGAGGTCCATGAATGAATTACAATCATTCTCCACATTTCTCCCAGTGTGCACCGCACTATTTTGCCATTAATTGCAGTCACTTAAAATAACCACTAGCTGGTAGACTAACCCTAAAATTCCTCGTTAATTTAAGAGAAGACCTGTGATCAAATGCATTGTGTTCTTGCTGGATCTGCTGCTTACTGGTGTGGTAGCATATTTTTTAAATCATCAAATTGAACAACCGCAACCAAATATGACACAAACAGCTACTGTCAAATGTTGCTACATTAGTTCGATTTTGCTTTTAAGCACACTTAAAACAAAACAGTTAGGTGGTAGCATTTTAATAAAAATCGAATCAAAACCCGATTTTATTTGTCACGTGCTTCATAAACAACAGGTGTAGACTAACAGTGAAATGCTTACTTATGGGCCCTTGCCAACAATGCAGAGAGAAACATTTAGAAATAATAACACAAGGAATAAATGCACAGTGAATAACGATAACTTGGCTATCTATATACATGGGGTACCAGTACCGAGACAATGTGCAGGGGTACAAGGTAATTGAGGTAGATATGTACATATAGGTAGGGATAACGTGACTAGGCAACAGGATAGATAATAAACAGTAGCAGCAGCGTATGTGATGAGTCAAAAGAGTTAGTGCAAAAAGGGTCAATGCAGATAGTTAAATAGTTAACCAAATAGCTAACTATTTAGCAGTCTTATGGCTTGGGGGTAGAAGCTGTTCAGGGTCCTGTTGGTTCCAGACTTGGTCCATCGGTACCACTTGCCGTGCGGTAGCAGGGAGAACAGTCTATGACTTGGGTGGCTGGAGTCTTTGCAATTGTTAGGGCCTTCCTCTGACACCGCCTGGTATAGAGTTCCTGGATGGCAGGGAGCTCGGACCCAGTGATGTACTCGGCCGTACGCTCTACCCTCTGTTGTGCCTTGTGGTTGGATTCCAAGCAGTTGCCATACCAAGTGGTGATGCAAGCAGTCAAGATGCTCTCAATGATGCAGCTGTAGAACTTTTTAAGGATATTTTGGCCCATGTCGAATCTTTTCAGCCTCCTGATGGGGAAGAGGTGTTGTCATGCCTTCAAGACTGTGTTGGTGTGTGTGGATCATGATAATTCCTTAGTGATGTGGATGGACACAGAGGAACTTGAAGCTCTTGACTCGGTCCACCACAGCCCCACCGATGTGGATGGGGGCGTGCCCAGCCCTCCGTTTCCTGTAGTCCACGATCAGCTCCTTTGTCTTGCTGAAGTTAAGGGAGAGGTTGTTGTCCTGGCACCACACTGCCAGGTCACTGACCTCCTCCCTGATCAGACAGGTTACTCATCACATTTTGCTTGCAGACACCTGAGACAAGACAGTAATGTGGAGAGATGCTCTGTCTGTCATAACATCTTGTTTCTAAGAGACAACATAGATGTTTTATAGGTTGAAATGTGTCTCTTAATTGCCTGCCCACCTGATTGCTCGTTCTTTTCACCCTTTGGATGCAATAATGTCAATCCGCTGCTTTCCAACAATGTTCCCTGTTTTAGGTAGGTTCTTTACATGCCTCCTCCTACATGCAGCTCTCTATTGCTGTGTTTACACAGGCAGCACAATTCTGATATTTTTCTCACCAATTGGTCTTTTGACCAATCAGATCAGCCCTGAAAAAGATCTGATATGAAAAGATCTGATGTGATTGGTCAAAAGACCAATTAGTGGGAAAAATATCAGAATTGGGCTTCCTGTGTAAATGCAGCCTATTATGCTACGTTCATATCATATGTTTAGGAATGTGAGTACTGATTGCCATATGAAAGGAATTCCAATACCACATCTCTGATCCATTCAATGCATACTTTTATTGAAGTAAATAAGATATTCTGCCCATATCATATCACTACCAAACTCATGACAGGTACAGATGTAGCAATGTCTGACCTTGTAATGTTGCTCACCTGAGTGCAATAGTGTGGTAGTCCACATGCTCATAGAACATAGGTAGTTTTAGGTTTATTAGGATCCACATGAGCTGTTGCACATCAAATCAAATCAAGCTTTATTTATATAGCACATTTCAGACATGAATGCAACGCAATGCGCTAAATAAAAAACAATGAAAATAAAAACAAAAATATTTACAACATAAACATTAGAGGATAAAAAACTAAAGAATAACAATAAAAACAGAAAGACTAAAAAAGCATCCTAAGGAAAAGAAAGGCTCAAAAGGTGTGTTTTAAGATCTCTTTTAAATATGTCCACATGCAGCAGCTACTCTTCCTGGGGTCCACATAAAACATAAAATACAGAACAGAGTACAGAACAGTTGCAGACAAGAACAACATAAGATAATATGACATTCAATTAAAAATAAAACAAGAATGATATATATCAAGACACCAAAAGACAACAAAAATACTATTTACACACTATATTAATATATACAGTGGGGAGAACAAGTATTTGATACACTGCCGATTTTGCAGGTTTTCCTACTTACAAAGCATGTAGAGGTCTGTAATTTTTATCATAGGTACACTTCAACTGTGAGAGACGGAATCTAAAACAAAAATCCAGAAAATCACATTGTATGATTTTTAAGTAATTCATTTGCATTTTATTGCATGACATACAGTGGGGAAAAAAAGTATTTAGTCAGCCACCAATTGTGCAAGTTCTCCCACTTAAAAAGATGAGAGAGGCCTGTAATTTTCATCATATGTACACGTCAACTATGACAGACAAAATGAGAAAAAAAAATCCTGAAAATCACATTGTAGGATTTTTTGTGAATTTATTTGCAAATTATGGTGGAAAATAAGTATTTGGTCAATAACAAAAGTTTCTCAATACTTTGTTATATACCCTTTGTTGGCAATGACACAGGTCAAACGTTTTCTGTAAGTCTTCACAAGGTTTTCACACACTGTTGCTGGTATTTTGGCCCATTCCTCCATGCAGATGTCCTCTAGAGCAGTGATGTTTTGGGGCTGTCGCTGGGCAACACGGACTTTGAACTCCCTCCAAAGATTTTCTATGGGGTTGAGATCTGGAGACTGGCTAGGCCAGTCCAGGACCTTGAAATGCTTCTTACGAAGCCACTCCTTCATTGCCCGGGCAGTGTGTTTGGGATCATTGTCATGCTGAAAGACCCAGCCACGTTTCATCTTCAATGCCCTTGCTGATGGAAGGAGGTTTTCACTCAAAATCTCACGATACATGGTACCATTCATTCTTTCCTTTACACGGATCAGTCGTCCTGGTCCCTTTGCAGAAAAACAGCCCCAAAGCATGATGTTTCCACCCCCATGCTTCACAGTAGGTATGGTGTTCTTTGGATGCAACTCAGCATTCTTTGTCCTCCAAACATGACGAGTTGAGTTTTTACCAAAAAGTTATATTTTGGTTTCATCTGACCATATGACATTCTCCCAATCCTCTTCTGGATCATCCAAATGCACTCTAGCAAACTTCAGATGGGCCTGGACATGTACTGGCTTAAGCAGGGGGACACGCCTGCACTGCAGTATTTGAGTCCCTGGTGGCGTAGTGTGTTACTGATGGTAGGCTTTGTTACTTTGGTCCCAGCTCTCTGCAGGTCATTCACTAGGTCCCCCCGTGTGGTTCAGGGATTTTTGCTCACCGTTCTTGTGATCATTTTGACCCCACGGGGTGAGATCTTGCGTGGAGCCCCAGATCGAGGGAGATTATCAGTGGTCTTGTATGTCTTCCATTTCCTAATAATTGCTCCCACAGTTGATTTTTTCAAACCAAGCTGCTTACCTATTGCAGATGCAGTCTTCCCAGCCTGGTGCAGGTCTACAATTTTGTTTCTGGTGTCCTTTGACAGCTCTTTGGTCTTGGCCATAGTGGAGTTTGGAGTGTGACTGTTTGAGGTTGTGGACAGGTGTCTTTTATACTGATAACAAGTTCAAACAGGTGCCATTAATACAGGTAACGAGTGGAGGACAGAGGAGCCTCTTAAGGAAGAAGTTACAGGTTTGTGAGAGCCAGAAATCTTGCTTGTTTGTAGGTGACCAAATACTTATTTTCCACCATAATTTGCAAATAAATTCATAAAAAATCCTACAATGTGATTTTCTGGATTTTTTTTCTCAATTTGTCTGTCATCGTTGACGTGTACCTATGATGAAAATTACAGGCCTCTCTCATCTTTTTAAGTGGGAGAACTTGCACAATTGGTGGCTGACTAAATACTTTTTTTCCCCACTGTAAGTATTTGATACATCAGAAAAGCAGAACTTAATATTTGGTACAGAAACCTTTGTTTGCAATTACAGAGATCATATGTTTCCTGTAGGTCTTGACCAGGTTTGCACACACTGCAGCAGGGATTTTGGCCCACTCCTCCATACAGACCTTCTCCAGATCCTTCAGGTTTCGGGGCTGTCGCTGGGCAATACGGACTTTCAGCTCCCTCCAAAGATTTTCTATTGGGTTCAGGTCTGGAGACTGGCTAGGCCACTCCAGGACCTTGAGATGCTTCTTACGGAGCCACTCCTTAGTTGCCCTGGCTGTGTGTTTCGGGTCGTTGTCATGCTGGAAGACCCAGCCATGACCCATCTTCAATGCTCTTACTGAGGGAAGGAGGTTGTTGGCCAAGATCTCGCGATACATGGCCCCTTCCATCCTCCCCTCAATACGGTGCAGTCGTCCTGTCCCCTTTGCAGAAAAGCATCCCCAAATAATGATTTTTCCACCTCCATGCT